TAGGCCGCGCCATAGATCAAGCGGTTAGTCGCTGGCTTCCCACCGCGGCGGCCCGGGTCTGATCAAGTGAAATTTGTGGTGGAAAAAGTGGCGCTGGGTTTCACCTACCAATCTTCATTCCACCAAATTCTCCATCATCATAATCACCTGTGGCAGGCTACAATAGGCCAATCAGTGGCCGCCGTGCCGAGTAGACCCAGTTGGACCCTACCCTCCAATAAGCGAATTAAAAAAAAAAATCTATGAAGAAATGTAAAAATGTTGAGGTACTTACTCATTTTGATTCGTCAGAAACAGCCCGGGACAAAAACCTTGTCAAGCCATACGTTTGTCCCCCCTTGGAATTTTGGAAAAATTCAGAATTCCTAGTACAAAAATATGAAGTTATTTTTAATTTTGGCGCTATCTATGTTTAAGTATGCAAAATTAGACCTACGCCTCTAAGGCGATCAGTAAAAATATTATTAAACCGTCCAAACGCATGTCTGTAAGCAAATTATCCCACACTTCTCTCCCCTCCATTTCGGAAACGCTGAATGTTTCATTGTAACAGTACTGTAAAGTACATAGTGTATATTTAAAGGGAACTTTCGGTAAAATGGATTTTAGATAATAATAATAAGAAGAAGAAGAAGAAGAATTATAAGTGGGACAGTTAGTGAGAATCAGCTGAGTTACATAGTTGGAGAGTGACTGAGATAGTCAGTTAGTTGGAAGACTTATGGGGCTTAGTCGTTTAGAGCTGTTGCTCTAAGAAGCTAGTAGCTGAGGCCGGGGATAGTTCGGAAACCCAGAGGAAAGTGGAACGTCCGCCGTTAGAAGCCGCTACCGAACAACGGCTAATGAAGACCTGACGGTTGACACTGTTGTGTGTAATAGTGAATTGCAAAGTGTAGTCATGAGCTGTATCAAAGAGTTCGATAAATCCAAACCCCGTCTATAGTCACACTTTTACACGTGACAGTATAATCAAATTGTGGTTCATTGTTTCTCTCATTTGCCAACAGGTTTCTGTTGCAAATAAATTTCCCAGAGCTCGATGGCTATTGTTCATGGACAAGAGTAGGTTATTGGAAGAATTCTTCGTCGATGTTTATATCCCTTTCGACTGCGAGTTCCTGGTGATACAGAGTTCAGCTGAGACTCCAGTAATCCGCGTCACTGAGATCTATCACATTCTCTACCAAAGCCCTCTGCAGACTTTCTGTGTAGCAAACTTTACTCCCGGTATTGGGTACGCTTGGTCTTCATTTCCCCTCATCGTAAGAAGGAAGGACTTGCAAGGAATCATCATAAAGGGCGCAGTTATTCCTTACGTACGTATGTCCTTGAATATTATCAACATAAAGCACTTCTGAATTAAAAAATATTGTTTCAGTGCTCAACATGATACTTCGTCACACTGTACGGTATTTTGAGTTTGTAGCACTCACAGAGGTGACCATGAACAGTACGGTCATCTGAATTGAAATTCCATGCAGTTTGAAGAGAGCCAGACGTTTCGGAGGAGAATTTTGCCACTGTTTTCAGAATTGAAGACTAATTCATTCAAGAAACTCCAAAAGCAGAAGACAAATGGAGCTAAAATTACTTCCTGCTTATTTTACCGTCCTCCAAAACGTCCTGCCCTCTCCCAACTATATAGCGCTACAGCAAAGGGAACATTACTCTTGTGTATGGAATGCATTTCACTGTGATCCATTCGTGTACAGCTCTTGAGCAAGAATATGAACACACGGTTACGATCTATGTGCATGTTATTTGGTTGTAAATTTGTGAAAAGGAGGTTGTGTATGCACCAAGTTAAAAATTGAATGGACTGTCTAATAAAATATGGCCACGCCATAGCTCAAGCGGTTAGTCGCTGGCTTCTAACCGCGGATGCCCAGGTTCGATCCCGGGGTCTGGTAAGTGGGATTTGTGGTGGACAAATTGGCGCTGGGGCAGGTTTTCTCCGAGTACTTGGGTTTCCCCTGCCAATCTTCATTCCACCAAATTCTCCATCATCATAATCACCTGGGGCAGGCTACAATAGGCCAGAAGTGGCCGCAGTACAAGGGACTTAGTCCCACCACACTAGCAATAAAAAAATCTAATAAAATAATTCATGCTCTTTTCTACTGTGTGGACAAAATGCATACATTTGTATTGCTAAATCACATGTCACATAGAGTAGCCACTGTGCTCTTAAGGGTCAATAGAATCTTCTTTCTTTCCCTAGAACCCTTACGTGACTGAGGCGAACCCCGGATGGAAGAAGGCAGCTAAGTACGGCGGATATATGATTGAACTCTGGAATGAATTGGAACGCAGAATGAATTTCACGTGAGAATTTTCATATACGCACCTTATTAACATGACAGACATTAATTCGTTATGAATTATATAGCTAAGTCTTCCCAGGACCGAACTTGAAGATGGAGGAAGCATATATTCCCGAAATATTGTTAACATTGCCCATAAACATACGGAGTAACAGCAGAAATATACAAACTAAACAAACTGGGCGATTTTAATCTGCAAGCGAACTATACCGACCGAGCGACCGCCGCTTGTCGGCGAAGTTAGTGCCAACTTTAGCGGATAGAGGGTGTTAATTTCGGTTTTATAGACGGGAGCCACTATTTCCTTGAAATAGCTCTTCAATTATCCTCACAAAGCTGAGGGGACCCCGTTCCAGACCCACCACTTCTCAGAAAATCTGGTGGCTCTGGAAATCGAACCTGGGACTTCTGGTGTACTGTAGCCACGAACTCTGACCACTACACCACAGAGGCACTAACTCCGCCGACAAGCGGCGGTGGCTCGGTCGGTATAGTTCGCTTGCGGACTAATGGCCACGGAGTTTGTATACGCTCCGAGCTATATTTGTTGTTGCTGGTTGCTAGTTTGATTTGTTTCTACAAGGTGTCAGTGAAATCCTACAGCCATGCAGTTCGCCACACTCCCCAATGTACTGATGCTCCCTTTATGATCTATAGCACAGAGTATGTGGCACCTAACGATGCTGTGTTCGGATCCCAGCTGGACAACGGATCCTGGACTGGAGCCGTCGGAATGGTCGTGAGGAAAGAGGTGGACGTTGGAATCAGCTTCTTCGCCTATTTGCCGGATCGGCTGTTAGCCGTCGATTTCTTACCACCGATATGGAACGTGAAGTGAGAACACAGTTTATTCTCCTGTTTCAAGTCTTTATGTATGGAACTGTACTGGACTTCAGTATACCCAACCCCAGGGAAACTTCTTTTAATTGCCTGATTGCTGGCCAGACGTCGGCACTTTTTCCGAAAGGTCCTGCGATCGACCATGTTAATACAGGTTTCCTTAGTTTCTCTCTTGTCTTCAGGCAAGGAGGATGAAGTGGGCAGGGCATGTAGCACGAATGGGGGTTACGAGAAATGCATATAGGATATTGGTGGGAAAGCCAGAAGGAAAGAGACCACTGGGAAGACCAAGACGTTGCTGGTTGGACAGTATTAAAATTGATCTTAGAGAGAATGAGATGGTATGGATTGGATTGATCTTGCTCAGGATAGGGACCAGTGGAAGGCTCTTGTGAGCACAGTAATAATAAAATGCTGGGAAATTCTTGAGTAGCTGCAGAATTGGCGGCTTCTCAAGAAGGGCTCAGCTCCATTAGTAAGTAATAGTATTTTCCCGCATAAATTTTGTGTTCGAAATTTCTTCCGGTTTCTGGACACTGTATAAGAGATGTGTGGCAGCAGAGTACATAATATTGATAAGAGGCTGAAAACTTATTAAAACTCTGTCTTATTAAATCTCTTTAATGTAGATGTGAATATCCGTGAGGCTGTGCGCAGTCAAATTAATTTCAATTTTTTTGTGCTGCTTTCCTTTGGCAGGCTAATGGTGCACATTAAGGAGCCTGAAATGGAAATCAGCTCACTCAGCCACATTCTTTCTCCGTTTGTCCCTACGCTGTGGTTTGTTGTGGTTTCAATCATGATGGTTCTCACATTAATTCTGTCTGCAACTTGGTACTTGCGTCCAAAATCCAATGTAAATGCTGGCTCAGCGTCCTACCGATTTTGTGAGTCGTTGCTCTGCGTCTTCGGGTCATTCTGTCAGCAAGGTGCGCAGTATGTACCCTTCTGCAGTTTGCGCATGCTCTCCTTTCACTGGCATAATCTCCTTCCTGCAAAGCTTTTTATTTTCTTCAATTCTGGCGGTAACTGTCTAGACTTCTGGGATGTGGCGACGTGTAGATATTGTGTTAACCGACGTTTCGGAGGAACTTATCGCTCCTATTCCTGCTCTTATACAGCTGTGTTTATTCGACTGGACTCCGTCTGTTTGCACCTGCTCACTCCGGTTCCTCGCTCGCGGATTTTTCTTCTCTGAAGATGGAGGCGATACGTTCCTCCGAAACATCGGTTCACACAATATCTACACGGCACCACATCCCAGAAGACGGCTCTCGTTATAGTCACACCCGTGAAGACTTCAAATCTTACATGTCTAGACTTCTGTTTGGGATGTACTCGGCCGGGTCACTGGCTGACCTGACTGAGATATTTCATGGTTTTCCTCAGTCTGTATAGGAAAATGTCGGGGTAGTTTCTCAATTAGTCCATGGCGCCTTCCTGCCAAATACTTTTGAATTTCTCATTTTTCGAGTTAAGTTTACAAGGACAGTAAGCTTTGTTGAGCCCATTTCATTAGTTATTAAGTATAATTTTTGTAAGATTGTGTGCTTAGGTTGAAATGTTAGACGGCTGGCCGGAAGGCAAGGAGACAGAACCGCGGCTGACTCTTCGCATTCCTTGGCAGTCGATCGAATTGTCTTTAGAAAAGACTGTTTAAGTATCAGTGGAGAGACCCGGTCAGGTTTCGCTTAGCGCGACAAGGCATGTCCAGCAAGATGCCGACCTCTGGGATTTCGCACGCGCAGCTTTCGCAACTTGGGAAAAAGCTGAATCTTGGAACTGGAAAAAAAAAACAGGCCGTTTCAGACACTCTGTTTCTAGCAGTTGTCAGAAACGGACGAGTAAAGCAAAGTGTGCCTGTGGAAAACCTTGGGATGGCGCCAGTGTTCTTCATGTGCATCATGTTTAGCGCGAGTGAGTACTTGCCCGTGGTCGGATCACTGATGGCTTATTAGAATTTCTGGTTTAAATTATTTTAGTGCGTTAATGTGTTTTTTTAATTTAGAGGTGTATAAGTGTTTAAGTTGATTATATATTCCATTTTTGTTGTTGTTTGGAGAACTGAAGTTTTTGTGACCCTCCTAGTGAAGCATATTTTCCACAGCATAGGTTAAGTGATATCCACGGACGTCCGATAGGGGGTGAGTACAGTCAATGCCCCCTATCAGGGCACAACAGCTGTTACTCTTTAGTTTGAGAGTCACAGGAAACAATAAATACAGGTTATGGGTGGAACTGAGAGGCATTTTAGCTGCAAATCAGGTGATATAAAGAGTTACCAATGCATTTTAAAGGGCTAAGCCTATTGTGACTATGTGATGGTAAAAGAATGTTCTGTTTTCGGGATTGTATTACAGCAAATGCACATCACTTTTAATACAGAGCAACTACATAATGACATATTCATGGGCCTCCCTGAGGCACTGTTTGAATTTAAATTAAAATAATCGAAGTCATTGAGTTTACGTGTTAAGCCATATCAGCTCAGAAATATAAACACCGGGTGTTTTATTTAATTTGCCTTTTCTTTCCTTCACTACTGCATTTGTCCTTGCTTTTGCTGTTGTGATTCTTTCTGGTTGTGCTTCCTCTGAAACGTCTATGATCTCCTTCAAGTCTACACCGCGTCACATCCAGCAAGTTAATATTCTCCACTGCACTGTTTTACAAATTAAGTGATGATAATAAAATATCATTACATGAAATATTTAATATTTTCGAATAATGTTTAAAATATATCATCCTTTAATTATGACAGTACTCAAATCGCTATGCATATTAATTTTGTTTCGTTGGATCCATAGGTTCTGATACGACGCCCCAGACAATGGCGTCGCGTATTGTCTACTTTACTATGCATCTCACTGCTGTCATCCTGTTCGTGGCGTACTCGGCCACCTTCATCTCCTTCCTTGCTGTTCGCCGCCATGATCTGCCCTTCACCGATTTCACTGGCCTCCTAAAGGACGGAACGTACAGGCTGGGAGTCCTTTCAGGTTCCGCTCGTGTCGATTTCTTTAAGGTGTTTGTGTTTATTATTAATGTCAATTTTCTTTGTTTTGAGAGATTTGAACTCAACTTCTGTGCTTTCGAAAGGAAAGGAAAGGAATAGCTTTTAATGACAATATTGGGACTCCGGTGTTGGCCCAGGCGACAATAATGTCTTCTCCCTCCGCACTCAGAAACAGATGGACTCAAAAATGTTTTTAGAATTGATGACATGAAACCTTCCAGAGCCCCTGTCGAAAGCTGTCAGGGGTGACGTAATTCTCAAAAGACATTTATTTACATTGTTGCGTAATGTGTTTAGATTACTATAAATTAAATGTGAGAATTCGAACATGATATTTTGCCTAATATTTTTGGAGTGATCAATGAGTTTATCAGCTCAGACATGAGGAAGAAGTGAATGCAAAGTTCTGATAAGGAAACGTATCGCTAGGGCGATCAAAACGTACAAAGGAAGATAGTGCTACATGAATCTTTTTTTTATTGCTAGTGAGGTGGGACTAAGTCCCTTGTACTGCGGCCACTTCTGGCCTATTGTAGCCTGCTCCAGGTGATTATGATGGAGAATTTGGTGGAATGAAGATTGGCAGGGGAAACCGAAGTACTCGGAGAAAACCTGCCCCAGCGCCACTTTGTCCACCACAAATCCTACTTGATGAAACCCTTGATCGAACCCGGGCCGTCGCGGTGGGAAGCCAGTGGCTAACCGCTTCAGCTATGGTGCGGCCCCTACATGGATCTTAATAGAAATATTCTGGAGTGGTGTGGAACGATTTATCTGGGTTTCGAATGTGGACCAGTAACCGGATGTTCTGGTCATGTTAATCAATAAACGGCTTCAGTAAAATTCTAAAAAAATTAGTGGTTGAGCGGCTGTTAGTTTAAAAAAATGACCGTGACAAGGCTTTAATTTTAGGTTATAAGAATTAGTGCTCCCATTATAAGGTTTGGAGCTCAGTCCTGGTACTTAAATTTTCTTATGTTGGTTTGTTTCCTTCTAAGTCTCTTTGATTGGATCTATAATGTTGCTTGATATTTCCTTAGTTTGGTTGGTGAGTGAATGAGATAAAATACGGTATATTTTTCTATAATATCTCTGCTTTCCTTGCTTTTCTCAGAAATCGAAGATAAGCGCACTAAATGAAATTTACCGGAAGTTAATACATCCTGACGTCACTAACCTACCAAACAGTGATTCTGAGGGACTACAACGGATTTGTAGGAATGAAAAGTACAGTTACGTTATTTCTCAGACAACACTCCGAGGACTGGCCAGAAGTATACCTTGCAGTATTGTCGGTGTTCCTCAGGCTTATTACACTGTCGCAGCAACCATGATCATCAGCAAATCAAGTCCTTACAAGAGGATCTTAAATTATCAGTAAGTTTGAAGGCTTACGTCGTATAATTGATTCATTTCTTGCTGCTCTGCACTGTACACACATTGAATGGAACTATGGAAGTTGTAAGCAACCTCCTTTAAATATCTTACACGCGGTAGCCTAGTTAGTTGAGGCAGTATGCTACAAGCCGGAAGATCGCGGAATCGAATCCCGATGAGGTGGATTTTTTTCAATTTACCTAATCATTTCAGTCGCACTATGGCCCTGGGGTCGACTCAACCTCTAACAGAAATGAGTACCAGGAATTTTCCTGGGAGTACAGGGCGGCCGGCGCGTAAGGCTGACAACCTCACCGCCATCTGTGAGCCGATTTTCTAGAAAATGTGGGAACCTCGACGTCTCAAAACCCTATGGGCCTCCATAGCCTGTTATAGGGATAGCTTTACTTACTTTTACTTTTACAGTTTTTGCACGTGTCAGTATGGAAATTGTTTCTGTAATTGCAGTGTTCAAGAAATAAAGCGAACTGGGATACTGACGAGGATTGAAGCCAATGCATGGCCACCGAAGTACAGTGAGATACTGGAAGAACCACCATCCAGCGTCAATTTGGGAACCGTTACAGTATTTTTCGTTATTCTGTTGATGGCGGTAATAGCTTCTGTGTTCGTCCTTGCAGTCGAATTTGGGATACGAATTCTTGGACAATCATATTAATTGGCTTCTTTCACAACAAGTTAGTTTGCTTGTGACGAGATATCTCGTCGCAGAATTCGATGTGCACTGGACGAGATCAATCTAATCTGTTAACATGTGAGAATATAAACCTAATTGCCTTTATGGTATGCATGCTGTTGTGTGTTATTTACGGAAAGTTATAATTTGGGGCAGTCGCACATAAAATAATCAAAGAGAAACAAAATAGACACTAATGTATCAATATTTGTTTTTGTTCTTGTTGGTGGTATCGGTACATGTTTCGATCATTTTTTGGGTAATCTTCAGGCGTACACGAATAATATTTATCTTTGAATTGCGTCATTAATATTACCTTTATATTGTGTGTGTATGATTATTCTATGATGTCAATTATATCTTAATTTTAAAATGTGGTTCAAATATCGTTAAAACTGGAAGTGAAACTTGATATTAAATAGATAAAAATTAAAATTAAAATCCAAATTGAAATAAAAACAAATGTTGACACTTTAGTGTCTTTTTTTATTTTTTACGACTGTACCAAATTATATTTTACCCAATTGCCTTTATTCGTAAAGAGAATTATGCCAGGATATTATTTTTATAATAACTTAATATATAGATATAAACTTGAATTATTAAGATATTTATAAAGATACTTATCGGTCGCTGTTTACAATAATTACATAATTGAAAATTACTGACGAAAAACCTGTTTATAACCAAACATGCGAACTAGAAGCCGTTGCTAAGTAACTGCCCCGCAAGCAAACATATTTCCACTGCGACAGAGGGACGCTGTTTTCTACGCTTTCCTTCACGAGGTCTTGCACTTCGGGAAAGTAGAGGGAAGGGAACGTCCGCCTTTGGGAGCCGTGACCAAGCAACGGCTAGTGAAGACGTGAATGTGGACACTGTGTAATAGTGAATTATAAAGTGTAGTCACGTGCTGTATCAAAGAGTCCAATAAATCCAATCATCAGTCCAAAACCCTTCAACCGTCACTCCAGAAATTGTGAAAACACTATATATTCCTCTCTCATTTTCGACCCTAGGGGTGGACGCAATCGAATGTGTTTCCCCCTTAAAATTATGTAAGAATTCATATTTCGCTAACAGATGAGCCGTTTCCCTCGACCCTGTGGGTTAAGAACCCCGCTCTTCTACCCACTTTGACCCGTGAATCCCTTCTCTATATGGGTAAGGGACAGGCTCGTAAGAAACGACTTGGTTGCTAGCGTGATGTACTATGCCTCCCTAAGATTGACTAAGGGATGTCGAGGTAGAAAAACCACAGTCGTTACAATGGGCCAGGCTGAACGGATCCACTAGGCAGGAACTGGTATGGAACATACGGCAAAAGTATACTTATACTGTACTGGCGTTCTCAAACATATAAATAAATATATATTGATAACATAAGTATACAAATGAACTCCGCCTGAAGGGCAGTGACTGGTTAAAACATATGTTATGGCCCAAATTTGAGATTGAAGAGGGTATGGTATTACCCAAAAGCTAGAGACTTGCGAAAAGCGTTTCGCAGTTATTGCCGTAAATTGTAAACACCAGGACTGGCAATTAGGTTAAGAATGTGACTGCACAGCAGATCTGTGTAATCGCAGAGCAAGAGCTTGCCTCACTCAGTGCACTGGATTTAATCGTAAGAGACTGCTTACACAGCAATAAGACGCAAGGGGTCCGCCCACAACCATCCATGAGAGCCAATGAGGAGGTGATTAGGAGGATTGAGGACACTGAGGGGGAGTCACCTACCCTCTGTCGTCAACGCTGAATCAGCGAAAGAAAACCATAAATTAGGGAATTTCGGGGGATTTGGGACATGTTCTGTCACAGAATATTCAGTTGCCAGCCGGAGGCTCTCGGCGACATGTATACCATAAGAGGGTGGATGACGGCAGTAATCTACATCTGTATTGCAAGTAAGTCTCTTTGCTCATATACGCCATGCTGTTAAATGCTATTGTGTATAAAAAGTGTTAGAGTGAGATGTTCCGACAGCCTCTAGTGTACCGAGTGAGAGCCTGAGTAGAACGGGGTAGGACAGGGTAGTAATGAATGTACAGTAGCAGACGAGGATAGGAGATACAGTCCAAGGCAACTCCCCTCCTCCGACAAAGATGGTAGAAATAGCTCAGTAAGAAGTGTGATGTAAGCAGACCAAATTAGGTCCTTTCCTTAATGTAATTAGTGGTGTAAAGAGACAGTGTACATAGGGAAAATGTACGCAAGGAGTTCTGATTCTCCCGTTAGTAACCATCCTGTCCTCACCCGATCCCAAGCTTCCCTAATCAAGACCGCCGACGGCAGCCGAGTGCAACGAAGATGTTAGGAAAAGAGTAACAACCGCCTAAAGTACTTATAGTTTCTCACCCCCTCCCCCTGAGGTGTAACAACATATGATAGCGAATTGATACAGAATTACGCTGCGCCCAATAGCACAGCGACTCAACTCGGCCACGCTTCGTGGCATATTTCAAACTCTCCAGTACAGCATGTACTCGATCAAGCCTTCGTAACACAAGGGAAGATAGCTTGAATACACTACTGAAGACGCCTGAAGGGCGATGTACTGTTTGTCGCAACCTTTAACAGAACCAAAATTACACGACGCCACACGGCGTCTATACTCGACCAAAAAATGCGCCATACGGCGTACACCATTTCAGTAAGTCACTTACCTGTATTCTGGCCATACGAACTCAAAGTTTTACCTCACGACTGATCCACTCTTGACCATATCGTGAGGGCACTCTTCCCCCTTCGAACGGTGCTACCTGCCGAAACCAAATTTCAAACTCAATCTATTCAACTTGCGGAAACAGAATTTGAACGTAGCGATGCTTTCAGACGAAAGTCTATGGGAAGAGAGAACAACTAGCTTCACTTGAGCTAGCCACGAAACCTCGGGATACGTCCAGGAAGAGGGGGGAAGGTCAGCTGAACTGACGTCAGTCAAGGACGTTAGTTGGAAAGAAGGGAACGGCTCGCATCCTGGCATTTCGGGGGGGGGGCTCCAAGGAACTTAACGAAGAAGAACCGTTGCACTGTTCACAGAACAGTAGAAATTACTTTATCGTCTTACAGAAATAAGCAAAGATTGACGTCTTTGCTTTGCTACCAGAGCAGTGACTTTTCCGTTTCATTTTATGTGCTGATATTTCGAGTAGGAGAAAGAGCAATGATGTCGCGATGCCCACAATAAAGACCGTGAAGATGGGCGATGCCTTCATCAGGGACACGCTTGATGGAATTTCTTCCGTCTCTTGTCTGAATCTTAATGGGACGAGGTTCTCTTCGTTTCTTCTCACAATTCCCGCTTCGTGCATTTTCGTGAAACTGGAATTCACAGAATAACAAAGATCTCATATTCTTGCAGAGATAACTTTTCTAATATGGCGCCGTGTAGACTGGTAGTTAGACTCTTCTACAGCGGATATTGAGGACGCAGTTTCCTCCACAAACTGATGTAATTACCAGATAACACGATGTCAGCACAAGATGATTGTAATATTAGTTGAACAACAAATATCAATAGGTAGCATGGTTGTGTGAGGCACTATGCTAATAGTCTGAAGGTCACGGGTTCGATTCCCGATGAGGCCATTGGATTTTTCACTTGACCTAATCCTTCCAACCGCACTATGGTCTTGGGATTGACTCAGTCTAAGAGAAATGAGCACCAGGATTCTTCCTGGGGGTTAAAGAGCGGCCGGTGCGTAAGGCTGACAACCTCATCGCCATCTGTGAGCAGATTTTCTAGAAAATGTGGTAGCCTCGACGTCTCACAACCCTATGGGCCTCCACGGCCTGTTACAGGCCGATGGATGTTAGTTTGTTCGGGTTAGGACCCCGTTGGAGGGAGCTACCCGCAGTTTAATAAACAACGCTTAAAATATTAAAGAGGGCTTAGGCTTTGGTGTTGTACTTACTAGTAGTTGAAGAGTTTCTTGAATTTGCTGTTCTTCTTACCAACCATCCCCATGGAAACAGGAATGGAATAGTCGGGTACTGCCACTGGGAGGCAGGCAAGGTAGGGCCTAAGCAGCTTCTCAACGATGCTTAACGTGAAGTAGGCATAGTTGCTTCTTTGGCACACAGCCAATAACCCTTCCTCGTTTGTCAGTGGAAGGTTCTTACCAGGGATTATCAGTCGTCTGTAAACGTCCTTCAGAATGTGGTCAGACGAAGTCTGCATTGGCGTGAAGCACATGTAAACTTGAATAGTTATGTCGATTGAAAACCGGCGTTTCGGAGGAACATATTGCTTACATCTTCAGGGTAGAAAATGAATCGAGCAAACCGAGCCTCATTGTTACCTGTTTTCATGCTGATTCCTAGCTTGGGTTATTCTTCGATTCTGAAGATGGAGGCGATATGTTCCTCCGAAAATTCGGTTGACCTTTCACGAACTCTTCATAACCACCGGTGTGAGAACCTAAAATCATACAAATATCTATCTGATTGAACTGTATACGTGAGAATTTACGTTCTCACGGCAGTGGATACGAAGATCAATATATCCTGGGATGTGATGTCATATAGCGGGAGTTTACCGACGTTTCGAAGCAACGTACTACCTTCATCTCCAAAGGCTTCCTTGTTTGCTTCATCGACACTCCCTTCATTATTAAGAACGAAGCAGTAGGTCCCTACGAAACGTCGGTATAATTATACTGCATTATATTATGTCACTGAAGTGGTTGGTGTATTGTCAACCCTTTAGACTTCTTTCAGGGAGATGCTCAGTTCGAATCTCCCCCGGGCTATCCAGATTTGGGGGGGTTTTCGTACTTTTCCTCAGTACCTCCAGTCAGATTCCAGGAGATTACCTCGATTAGGACACGATCAGTTTGTTCAAAATCTTTTGAAATTCATTATTATTCTTACATCACCCTACCTTTCGACTCCATATACTTTATTTGAAAGGTGGATAAATTGTATATCTGAAGGGTAAAATTAAGGGCAGTAGCGTTCTGCCAGAACAGAAGGAGAGCAGCACAATATAGCTGAAGTATTTTTAATAAGCAGAGTAAATGTCTACTGCTGAAATCATCGCCTGACAAGCAGTTCTTAACGTTCCCGTGGACACATCTTATTGCATCGCTTGACAAATATCGAAAGATATTGATGTAAATTATAAATAATTGGCACGTATAGCCGTTATTATGTAACGGCCCGTAAACAGCAACGTTTTCTGTTCGATTCATGCCGAAATGTTTTCAGCAAGACAAAAGTGTGAGTCATTTGAGTTAGTTGCTTGTTGAGTTACTGAGTTAGAGGACTGCTGCAGTTCAGTCGTTATAAGCTGGTAGCTGAAGCACGGGGATTGTTCGGGAACCCAGAGTAATAGGAACGTCAACTGTTGGAAACCGCTACCAAGCAACAGTTACTGAAGACGTAACTATAGACACTACGTAGTGTGTGTATGTGTGTAATAGTGAATTGTAAAGTGTAGTCACGCGCTGTATCAAAGGGTTCAATAAATCAATGCGAACCCCGTCTGTAGTGACAAAAATACAAGTGGCAATAATATTATGATAGCTCCAATGGCTGTATTTTACAAAATGTGTCAAGTTCATACGTACTTGAAAAATGCTCAGCTGTGCCGAATTCGGAAGCATGCCTAGCATGTACTTCCCGTTCTCCGAAAAACCCTTTATGTCTGTGAATGGCAGTTTGTATCTGTTGACAGTCAGAATCGAGATGAATTTGGCCGAATACGCCACAGACAGTAACGCCGCCGTGAAATATGTCGTCAGGAACACCAGCCTGCAGGCCCAGGTTTGCGGGGAAGTATCAACGCCTGCAATTCAAATCGGTTTCTGTATTAAAAACGACCTACACTACAAGAAATTACTAATGGAAAGGCAAGCCGCTCCATAGCTCAAGCGGTTAGTCGCTGGCTTCCCACCGTGGCGGCCCGGGTTCGATCCCGGGTCTGGTCATGTGAGATTTGTGGTGGAAAAGTCGCGCTGGTGCTGGTTTTCTCCGAGTACTTCGGTTTCCCCTGCCAAACTTCATTCCACCAATTTCTCCATCGTCATAATCACCCGGGAAGGTACAATAGGCCAATCAGTGGCCGCCGTGCCGATTGGATCCAGCTGGACTCCACCCCCCAATAAGCGAATTAAAAAAAAAAGTAAAGGCAAAGTTGCCGGGATCGTGGTTTCGAATCTCACACAAGGCATTTATGTTTGGTATGTGCTAGTGTTGTCCTGTGTCTATGTAGCGGCCTTGAGACGGACTGATCACTCGCCCAAGGAGTCCTACCTTCTGTGACAAATGATTACGGAACTGAATAAGAGGCCAGGGCCCAAGGGGGCTGTAGAGCCAGTGAAAAGGGTAAAGTTGTCCCTATGCTTAATTAATTAAGGGCTTCTGCATGAATATATATGGCGAAGTGGAGATATAGCTCCGAACTAGATGTAGGCCTATGGTTAGCTTCACGCCCCTGTCGCTTTACCCCCCGGGAAAGAACCCTCGGCACCCATTGGACAGAAGAGCCCCTGTGGAGAAGAGAAAGAGAACTGCACTTGCCGAGAATCGAATAGGGACATCCGAGTCCGTTGCACGTCGCTATACCGGAAACTAGTGCAATGATAATTCTGTAGTCAGTAAAGAACCACACCGATTCAAATTAGACGTGCAAGGTAATACAGTAGAGCAGGCAATGGAATTTAAGTATGATTAAAATGATCAAGTCAAGGAGGATGAGAAGGGCAGGGCATGAAGCACGGAGGGGGAGAAGAGGAATGCATATAGGATATTTGTGGGAAAATGGGGAGACGAAGGTATAGATGGGTGGACAATATTACAATGGATCCTAGAGAGATAGGATGGGATGGGATGGATTCGATTGACCTGGCTGAGGATAGGGACCAGTGGAGGGCTCTTTTGAGCACGGTAATGAACTTTCCCCCTCGTTCGTGTCGCCACCTTATCGTAGTGAGGGGGTTTGAGTATGCCAAGGACCCTGAGAGCTATACCAGCAGTAGCGTAGCAAATGAAAGAACTACCACATTATCACTTTTCCTGGATAGTCTCATTCCGAAAACAGAGACACCATGTATGCGAACCAGAAGACCAGGAAGAAGACGTAAGAAGATGCTGGATGACCTTGGGGACAGAAGAGGATATTTTTATTTGAAGGAAAAGCTCTGGATCGCATTAAGTGGAGGAACTGTTTTGGAAGAGACTGTGGACCTGTCGTCTGACAGATTACTGATGACGAATGAACCTTCGGGTTCCATGAAATGCTGAGAAATTCTTGAGTAGCTACAGAATTTGCGGCTCCTGAAGAAAAGTTCAGCTCCATAAGTAAGTAATTTTTCTTATTGCTAGTGGGGTGGGACTAAGTCCCTTGTACTGCGGCCACTTCTGGCCTATTGTACCAGCCCCAGATGATAGGTGAGGGTGATTGTGGAGCAATTGGTAGAATGAAGATTGGCAGGAGAAACCGAAGTACTCGGAGGAAATTTCCCCAGCGCCACTTTGTCCACCACAAATCCCACTTGACCAGACCCGGGATCGAACCCGTTCCGCCACGGTGGGAAGCCAGCGATTAGCCACTTGAGCTATGGCGCGGCCCCCGAGTAAGTAAGTAAGGGACTGAGGAACACTGAAGGCAGAAACACAGCACCAAAGAGACAAAGCCGCCTAAGTGTCCGGATGCTGAAATGACAAAATATGGCGGAACAAATGTCTAAGATAGAAACTAAAGTAAGAATTTACAGATCAGCTGTACATTCTGTCGAGACGCCCCCACGTGTTGCCCCCGGTGTAACCAACTAACTGCAGCAGAAATCAAAACCTGTTATCGTTAATCATTTTAATGGCCAAATAATAAAATTGATTTGTGAAATAGTTGCTCACCTGTCAAACAGAACATGGCGAACACATG